TTTCTTTCTTTTCTTTTCTTTTTTTTTTCCCCTCACTTCTGCTGAGTGTCTATAATCACCTCAGAGAAATACTTGAATTCCTAGAATTTCCCTTGTGGGTATGTATTATGTAAGGACATTTCATTACTACTTAAGGGTCACCCTCTGTAATGCTTACTGCAAGCAGCAGTATTTGAAGAGTCTGGTAGTATGAGTTTTAAACATAGAGCTGCCTCAGATGTTTGACTTCTGAGGGTATTTGGTGCATTTCATTAGCCCATAAGCTCATAAGAATGAAGCTCCCAGGAGCACTACAGGATTATGGGATAGCTTAAAGCCATACCCAAATGGGAATCAGTGATTTCACACTGACTATATTGTACATCGCAGAATTTGTGTGTTGATATTCTACAGGAATTATTTATGTAGCCAAAGCACACTGGTGATTTTTTTTCAAAATTTGTTGTAGCTGTTATATATTTCCAGAGCTAGAAGTCTCAGAGCTGGAATATTTAGGGTAAAAAGTCAAATAGCTAGCTATATCACCTGTCTCCCAAATCCTACTCTGAGAGATAATAAATGGTATCAGAGGCAACCAGCTGTGAGTGGTAAAGAAAAAAAAATTAAAAAGAGACGTTTGTTGTTTGTTCTCTTAAAAGAAAGTTCAAAATACTTTCCCTCTCAAAATTCTGGGTAAATATGAAATTGATTCAGAAGCAGCTGAGGATATTAACATCTTTGATCCTGGTTGGGGAAATTCAGATCCAAGTATGAAAATCAGCTTTTCATAGAATCACAGAATATTAGACTTTGAGGATCTTAGACGCCATCTGGTTGAATCCCATTCATTTTCAAGTGATTAAACTGGGGTCTGCATAGGTGAAGTGACTTAAGTTACATAACTACTTGGTGGAAGAGTTGAGACTAGATTCTAAATTTCCTGACTTGATGTTGTTAGAGAAGTTCCATAAAGTTAAAGGGCAGGGAGGTTTAGACGAGGCTGTTCTTGCTCTTTTTGTTCTGGAAAATTGAATCTATTATTATAGGCAACAAATAAAATTTTTAAAGATACTTGAAACTAGATTTTGATATTTCTATTACTAAAACATAGAGAACCATGAGCAACTTTCCTGTTTTTCTCTTGATATTTTTTCTATATTTCAAAAATGTCATATTTTGTTTATCATACACTAAATACTTTATGATCACTGTGTGAATACTCCAAGGATGTGGGCCTCTTGGTGTAGGAATTTAAGATTGTCTCACATCTTTGATTTAGCTTATAAATCCTAGGGATCTTGTTGAGGTCCACAGAGGTTTTGATTTATCCAGGATCATACTGCTAAAAAAAATCAGAGGTGAGATATGAAGTCAGTCGTCTTGATTCCAAATCCCAAACCTGGTTCATTCACCTATGCCAAATAAGGGAGCTCGATGTCCCCCAAACTCTTTTCCCATCTCTGAATCTCTGAGCCTATGACCACATAGGCAAGAAGCAGGAGAAGGGACATTTCCATTCATCCAATTCAATTCCCTCATTTTTCTGATGAGGAAACTGAGTCTCAGAAAGCTTAAGTAGCTTAAGATCACGCAAATAATGAGAGAGCTTAGTCATTATAATTTCACGAAATTAGTTTCTGTTGATGTTCTTATTTCCATTATTATTGTTGTAGTCATTATACATATTTTCTTCCAGCTTCTGCTTAGTTTATGTTGTATTATTTCATGTCTTCCCATGCTTCTCTGAAAGCTTCATATTCCTTATAATTGCTACATTGCAATTTCTTTAGCCATTCCTTAATCAACTTGGCATCTACTGTGTTGCCAGGCCTTTGCTACTACAAAAAATTGACATACCTCATTTATCCCAGATTAAAACTATGCATATTTTTTTTTTATTTTGGACACCAAAGTGAGATTTTAAACTCAATTTCAGTGTCAAATTCCATAATGGAGTGTTTACACTTAAGATCATGGAAGAGACCTCAGAGGATATCTAGTTAAATCTCCTTGTTTTATAAATCAGAAAACTTTAGATCTAAAGCGGGAAAGTAACTTGCCCAAGGTCACATAGTAAGTTTCAGAGGAGAGATTTGAACCTAAGTCTTATGACTCCAGAGGCAGTGTTTTTTTTTCACTGACTATAATATACTATCTTTTTGTTTTTTCATTGCTTATCCTTTCATTTCCAGTAGAAGAAGCTATTCATGTCTCTTATTTATTGAATCTAGATTTTTTAAAAGTTCTTGCAGTTGTTGGTAAAAGAATATACTGACTTTTCTCTTTTTAACTATATCTGTGGTTTCCTTGATATAGGGAGTTCTCTTTCAAGAACTCTTTCTACAACTGTTTCTCAGCACTGCATAACATTTGAGAAGTGCTTAGGGCACTGAAAATTTAAGTGATTTATACAGAGTCAATATGTGTCAAAGGCATGACTTGAACCCAGCTCTTTAAGGCCTGCTCTGAATCCACTATGCCATCAGTTCCATTTATTAGGGGAAAAAATCTTTTACATTATGATAAAAAAAAAAAACTCAGTTTGTCCAAGAAGAATTTGGTGGCCTTTTCAAGGTTGTATGGTAATACCGACTACAAGAATCTAAACCAGGGGTGGGAACCTGTGGCCTTGAGGCCCCAGAGGTTCCCCAACCCTGAAACAGTCAACATAGAAATTCAACAAAACTGGTCATACACAATGGTCACTCACTGTCCAAGTTAAAGGAAGATGCCTTCTTTCTACTAACAATAAACACACAGAGTGTTTTGTTGGGGGAAGTACTTTGTAGGAAAGGTTGTTTGCTGGAAGTAGTCTGTTGTGTAAAAATGAAAGATAAGAAAGATAATGCTTAACTCTTTTAAAGTACTATGGTAAGTTTCATTCTGATTTACTTTAGTGGTGGAAAAAACCAAAGTAGGTTTGCCCACAAGGTTGACCACTAATTGCAGAACTTTGAGAGGTAACAGAGTCTAGCCATGGCAATGACAGTCAGCCTGATCTCTTTGACATAAGTGGAATAGGGTATTGATTCTGGGTAGTAATATAGTTCCAATGAGTTCAAGGTTGTGCCAGCCAGGCCAACAACATGCCACTCGCCAGATGACTTTGCTTTGTTCCATATTTACAGACTACACCATTGAATCTGACCAGACATGTTATAAATGTTTGCTGCTTGTCATCTTGGGGAGAAAGGTGGCAGAATGATGATTATCTGAGATAGCAGAAATAGTTCAGTTTAAAACTACTCCTACTAGTAGAAAAAAAAATTAATAATAATAATACAGATTGACTTCCAGTTGCCATTTAGTTTACAGGACCACAGATACTAAAACATCATAGATTTATAGCATCCCAGATTTAAAGCTGGAAAGACCCTTAGAGTTTATTTAATCCAACACCCTCACTGCCTTACATTATACCCTAGATGAGGGTACCAGGAGCTGAAAAAGTGAAGTGACTTACCCAAAGTCACAAATGGCATAGCCAAATTCAAACCTCCATTATTCGATAATGTAGAAAGAGTATAGCTTTGAATTTCAGCGAGGCCAAGTTTATATTCCACCTCTTAAGCTTACTAGCTGGGTGACTTTGGACCAGTCATTTAACTTCCCTGGACTCCAATTTCTTCATCTGTAAAATGAGGGGGTTGGATAAGAAAGCCTCTGAGGTATCTTCCAGTTCACTCTCTATGATCTATGATTCCAAATCCAGAGTTCTTACCCCATGATGTCATTGGTCCTCTTTGAAAACGAAGGACAAAGACCACCACCAGCACACGACGCACCTGCAAGGACAAGGGGTTGGGGGAGAAGTGTTATATAATTCATACCATTACAAAGAAAAGTTAAAGGCTGCAAAACAAACCAGATCATTTCAAACTGGGCTTGAAAATGAATTGATGAGTTGTGAACTGCAATCAAGAACATGAGGCCAGATTTTCTCCTATAGATTCCTTATGCCCTGAAGTAGATCATAGGACAATCATAAGAAGTGATAAACTTGTTTGATTACACTTCACAGGTGCTGCTAGGTCCAATTATCTTGGTGCTAAAATACCCTCTAATTGGGTGTGAAATACACATCATAGTTAATTACACCGTACACCACTGTAAAGGCTTGAAATAATTAAGAATGTTTTCATTTCTCCACTGGCCTAGAAAAAGCATAAGCATTTCAAGTTCAAATCCTTAGAGATTGCTTTGAAACTCATGAATCAGCTAGAGATGAATTTATGCAAATTTCTAACCCCAGAATTTTATTGAAACCATAAGCCTCTTATCATAACCTAGATCTTTTGATCTAAGTACAGCTATCTGTGTCTTGTAAGGAGCATGTGCCCTTTGAAACAAAAGGTACCAAGGTATTAATGAAGGTGCTATTTAAAAAGATCATATAAGCCATTAAATGTGACATATTTTCCTGTCTCTAGTTTTGCAACCCGCAGTACCTTAAAGACAAAATGTTAGTTATGGGTGTGTGGTCAGTGGGTAGAGGATCATGGGACCAAAAATTCAGTTAGTCCCCCAAATCTAAGAAAAAAGTCAGAGAATTTATTTCAGAAAACACCACTACCTATAACTGAACTGTAAGAGAAACTATAAATTATGCTTGGATTAACTGTTCACTGGTGACTTGTCAGAAGTAATCGACTCTGCAACGATATTTGAAGGCGTATTTCTAATACAACAAAGATGACTTGCTATATATCGTCAGAAAACAGGTTGTCTAAAATTCAATCATCAAAACAAAAAACAAAATGTGACCTTGAAATTATAACAAATAAAGGTTTGTGATCTCACTTAAGTGGACATCCTATACCTTGATAGAAATCTTCACAAATTACTGTGATTTTTTAAAAAAAATCATTATATTCTGATACAGAACTAAGACGGTCCTTCCAATGACAAACATATAGTCCATTTCTGAGTCTATATTTGAAGCTTTTCCAATATGATAAGATCTCTCAGAATCTGTTTAATGTCATAGATTTGTCATAGACAACATTTGTTTGATGTCATAGATTTCGAGAATCCAAGCTTCCCTCCACACTCGTAGGGTATGTATCTAACTAGGACTTTAGTGAAACTAAAAAATATAACAGTTATATATATATAGGTTAAAATGCAAATAGGATGATTTAATGAGAAATGCAAAAAAGAGGATGATGGCCTTCCAGTATTATAGTAAAATAGATGGAGAATAAGTATCTCTCATTGTTTATTCAGCACAGTCATAGGAGAAAAACTACTCTGGAGCGTTCTAACCCAAGAATATTTCTCCATCTTACTGAGCCCCTTCTCACTCCATCTGTCATCCCATACCACCCCCCCATTCTGACTCTTAGACTTCAACACTTGCCTTTCTTCCCCCAGCCTCTCCCACACTACCCCTTCAGTTTTTTGTATGCTATCTTTGCCCATTAAAGCAAAACTCTTTTTAGGTTAGGGCTTATCTTCCTTTTTACTTGTATTTGCATCCCTAGCACCTGTCACAGTGTCGTGCTACATAGTAAGCACTTAATAAATGCTTGTTGCTTTAATAAGAACCTTGTTGCCCTGCTTTGCTAGACCATTAACTTGAAAGTTGTACTCTCTGACAGACCAATGACAGACTTTCAGACCCAACCATACTTAAATAACATGTTCCTCAAGATCATTCAAATTACTTGGCTCCAATCCCAAACAACCTCCTCATTATTCATTCGATTTCTCAGCGCTCAAAACTGGGAAGGAATACCTTGCCTATATAATGGCACCATGCATTCTGTACACCTCAGTATCTTCTGTTTCCTAATGTCATGGTGAAACCCACCTTTCTAAAAGCTTAAAACCAATTTAGCTAACTCTCAGGGTTTTTAGCTAATTCCTAGATCAACCTGATCCTTATAATCCCATTTACTTCTCTGAATTTTTACCTAGTACCTGTTACCTTCTCCTTTCAGTCATCTATCCCTCTCTGGATTCAGACTAATCTCTCCATCCTAGGGGGACGCTTGGTCCTAGCTTCTCAAACTAGTTGTAGCCCTACATTGGTATGACAATTCTTAATAAATATTAAATCATGCCAACTAACTGATCAAGCTTCTATTATGTGTTTACTGTGATGAGTACGTAATGCGGATATAAAGATAGAAATGAAAACAGTCCCTGCCCTCAGGGAGCTTATTTATTATATTCTATCAGGAGAGACAACATATGGTCATTAGATTGTGAGTTCCTTGAGGGCAGGGTCTGTCTTTTCCCTCTTTTTGTACTCCTAGATCTTAGCATAGTGCCTGGCACATAGTAGGGACTAAACAAATGTTTGTTGATTGAACACGCACATATATAAATGTATGTAAAATAAATATAAGGTAATTTCGAAGGGAAAGACACTAACATCTGGGAGTGTCAGGAAAGGTGGCATCAGTGGTGCTTGAGCTAAATTCTGAAGGAGACAAAAAATTCTAAAGGCAGAGGTAAGGAGGGAATGAATTCCAGGCAAGGGAATGATAACCTGTCTTCAAATAAGGGATGTTACAAAGATACTAAACAGTAACGTAACTAGGGAAACTTTGATTCCTCTGCACAGTTTCACCAGTCGAGACATTTTGGTACGAATTCTTCTAACTTATCTTTCTTTCCCAGCAGAATTTGATTAAACTTAAATCTTAAGTGACACGTTTTCATGCCTCTGTTCAGTAATATGAATTCCAACCCCTGCTAGAATCTGATTTAACAGCTTTTCCCTGAAGTTCCAAATGCACTGATTCACTAAACTTAGCTCCAGTCTAAAACTAAAGTCCTTTTTTAAAAATTTTCTTCCCTGTGTCTCTGTCACTTTACAGAATGAAAGTATTTACAGAGTGAGTGTCATGTTTGCTAAATAGATTCTTGACTCAATAGCTGGGCAGCGTAGGCACTATCAGCAAAGAAGGAACGCACTTATTCTTTGCCCAGAAGTTTGTAGTCAGAGATTACACAGTATTCAGGAGTGTTGTTGACTTTCCCTTGCTACATATTTCAGTTCTACTCTGGCTGCTGTTTTGAAATTTCCTTCAACTACCCTGAGAAGGGGGGAAAAATGTGTAAAAGAAGAGGGTATGCTGTTACTCTTTTATTAATCCTGGAGAGTCAGACAATTAACCTTTTATAATGAAGAGAACACCACTCACCTACGCGAACAGACTTTCACCTCATTAACTTGGTGGAGGCAGAATGCAGCTTTGAAAGCAAGGTAAAATAGCATAGCCAGCATGAGAATATATTCATTCTCTTAATATTTTGTTGGATATGATCTTAAAATTTCTAAATCCTAAGTGAACTGTGTAGCTTTCATATGCCTAGAAAAATTAAGGAAACCAATTCACTGGATACACGTGTGTGTATGTATGTATGTGTGTGTGTGTGTGTGTGTGTGTGTGTGTGTTTTAATTCTCCTCCTTCTCCTATATCCAATTATTTTCCACATCCTCTTTACTCTTCCTCTCCCTCATCATACTTCTTTGTATTAGTCCTCTTCTCCCCACTTAATGTCATTCTAGTTCAGGTCTTTACCACCTCTTGCCCACACTACTGTAAAAAGCCTCTTAATTGGTCTCGCTGCCTCCATTTTCAGCCCTTTTTAATCTATTCTTCCTGTCACTGTCAAAATAATCTTCCTTAGGAACAGATCTGATTATGTCACTCCCCAACACAAAAATCTTCACAGATTCCCAAGTGCCTCTAGAATAAAATAAACACTCATAGGCCTAATATTTAAAACCTGCTGCAATCTACCTCTGATGTACCATTGCAATCTCATGTTTTGTTCCTTCTTTCACTCATGCTAGTAATCCCTAGCTGATCCCTAAATTTGGCCTATCATCTTCCACCTTTCTCTATTCACAATGACTAACCCTCATGCCCACCCAGAGTGCAGTTTCTCCTCCCACCTTGCAGGAGCCTTACCTTTGATCAAAGCCTAACTTAGGTGCTACCTCCTGAACCAGGGGTGGGATGCAGTCTCCAGGCCATAGGTGGCCCTCTAGGTCCTCAAGTGTGGTCCTTTGACTGAATCCAAACTTCTCAGAACATTGTGAAATTTAGATTCTATCAAAGGGCCGCACTTGAGGACCTAGAGGGCCACCTGTAGCCTGGAGACCACAGGTCCCCACCCCTGAATGTCTCCTTTCCTGATCTTCTCAGCTAACTGATAGTTTCTCCCTCCTAAAATATTCTTAAAGCATTTTAAGAGCCTCTTTTTTTACCTCACTACTGACTACCTTATATTATATTGATTTGTATATATGTTCTATGTCACACACTTCCCTCACCAACAGAATGTACATTCCTTTCAGAGACCTTCATTTTTGTCTTTGATTTCTAACCCCTCTTATATCCATTGCTTTTGCTCTTTTTAATTTTTTTTCCTACTTGTCCTATATATAGTTTGTTCTATATAAATCTGTTTGCATGTTGTCTCCCACATTAGATTATAAGCTAATTGAAGGCAGTGACAGACTTTTACCTCTTTTTGAATCTCCAGCACTTAATAATACCTGGCCATAGTAGGCATTTAATATTTTTTTTCTCTCTTGCAATTTTTTTTTATTATATGAATTAACAGATTGTCCTCTTTTGCCCAGAATTCCCAAGAACAAGAAGTATTATAAGGGGCAGGGCTGCTGGACAAATCCAGTCATAAGATGATGAATAATTGAATTATTAAGCAATCAGTAAATTGAAATGTGGCATCATGCAAGGGTTAAGCAAGATATAAATGTAGTGAGATCCTGAGACAACTTAGTGACTCTCAGAACTTGGAATACAAACTAATCTTACAATTTCCTTAATCTAATCCTTCTTGGATTATATTCTTTATATAGACCAATTGTTGAAATAACTGTGCCTGACTGAACAGGGGAGGTGTCATCAGTGGACTTCATTGCTACTTTCCTCTCATTTACATTTGTCAATAATGCGATATTGCAGGGGCAATGGGTGTGCAATCATTTTTTTTTCCCCCAGGAAGGTTAGAGACTCCACAGCATTGCAACAGCTTTGCAGATTTCCACATCATGATAGTTGAAATAGCAGAGTCCTACAAAGGTCATGTCTGAGAGCATCAAGAGACTTGCATTGGCTCCTTTCACCAACTTGTCTTCAAGAATGTAGTCAGTAATAACCTGTCCAAGACCCCAGTGACTATAGAGGGTGAGGACTGCAGTCCACCACAGAGCTCTGGCACAGGGAGCAGGCCCAGCAGCAAGACGCTTATGGTTCTCTTACTAGTCCAGAGCATAGATGCAGCCCTAGAGTTAGAGCAGCGGCTGGCAGACAGATGGATGTGCCATCCTTCAGGATCAGGTGAAGGCAGGTCCGACCGTACGGGCAAACAGCAGCAGAGCTCAGCGCCCTAGGAGCTGGTAAAAGGTTCAACTGCTCAAATACCATGCTGCTGCCAGCATCATAACTGCCTAAAATTTAAAAAATGAATGAATGATCCCTAACGTCTAGGACAGTGTGCAGTGTCCACCTCCCACTCCATAAGCTAAATGCAAAATAGGTGTTTATGGAATTTGCTGATGATTTTTAAAATCAATCACCTAGTATTTATTAAGATCCTCCTGTATGCCAGACACTATACTAGGTGCTGGGAGTGTAAATATAAGAAATGAATCAATCCTTTCTCAAAAGGAGCTTTTAAAGGCTATGTATTGGATATTTTATTTTGGGACATATTTGCATCCCAATTGTCCATGACTAAAAATTCAGTTTATAGAAAAAAAATAGAAAGTGTCCATTCCAACACTTTATTACAATAGAATCCCAGAATGTCAGAGTTGGAAGGATCCTCAAAGGTCTCTAGGTCAACCTACACCTAAATAGGACTGCCATCCACTACACCTCAACAGTCCAGTCTTCACTCAAAGACCTACAGTTATGGGGAAACTACCACTCCATTGAGGCATTTCACTCCATTTTTGACAACTCATTAATAGGATTTTTTTTTTCTTTTCAGGAAGTCTAAATCTGCTTCCTAGTGACTTTAACACCTTGCCTCTACTGCACCATCTGTATCCAAGACAACTTAAATTGTCTTCCATTTGACAACCTTCAGGTATTTTCATTATGTCCCTCCTAAATCTCCTCTTTCTTCTACTCATTCTCTTATCTGCAAATTGGACTAAATTATAGGTTCTTACATTAGGATCTGGAAACTGGTTTTTTTTTATTTTTTAATATATTTTAAATTGCATTTCAAATATGATTGTTTCCTTTCTAAACCTGTGTGTTTCATTTTATGCATCTTAAAAACGAAAGTCTCAGAAGCTGGCCCTGGTATTCTCACTATTTAAATAGAAAAGTTCAGATGCTGGAGATGTTATGGGGGGGTAGAAATGACAAGAACTGGCAACTAATTGGATATGGGGTTTGAATAACAATAAGGAGTCAAAGGTAACACTGAGGTTGTTAACCTTGAATAACTAGAAGGTTGGTAAAGACCTCAACATTTATAGAGATGTTTGGAAGAGGGATGGATTTTGGGGGAAAGATAACAGAAGATGTTCTTTGTAGTCTCAACACACCCATAAGTGTTTATCCTGTGTGACTCACTTTGAATAGGGAGAGTGGGGCAGAGCTCTTACTGACTGGTGATTGCTCTGAAAATATATCCCACATGTCAGTGGTTTCTGCCACAGCCAAGAGGTAAAAAAGAGGTGGTCTCAGGGGGTCAGGAGGTAGGTATATAGGGGAGTAGGGCAGGGAGAGGGAGGCAGATTTCCCAAGGGCACCTGGGCAGCTGCCATTTGGTGATTAACAGCCCTGAGATGTCCAAGGGACTTTCACAGAAGACGGAAGAGATAGAATAGAAAAATGTTAAGGGCAAACGGTAGGTGAGTTAGTGTTGTAGACAAGAGCCACGACTGATTTTCAAGGATAGAATGTGACTCACCCTCCACTGATCCCATTTCCCTTGGGAGGTTAGTCCACTTGTGAATAAGCCTTTGATGAGTAAGACCACAGCCCTCTCCTCACTTTGAAGAACACTTGTCTATAACAATCTCCTGATTCCTAACTGAAGAAACTTAGAAATCTACAGGATCATAGGATTCAGAGTGATAAAGGGCACCTGAAATCATCTGATTCAAATCTCTAATTTTTCCAGACAAGGATACTGAAAATCCAAGAGGTGAAGTGATTTATCTAAGATCAAAGAGGTTGTAAGTGAAAGATTCATGATTTAAATACAGATATTCTGACTAAAAAGAGTGTGTTCATTCCATTGGTCTTAGACTTGGGTCTTTCAATAATAATGATGATGATGATGATGATGATGATTGTTAAGAAAAATAACTAACATTTATATAGCACTTTAAGGTTAGCAAAACCCTGTGCAATTATCTCATTTGATCTTCACAACCACCCTAGGATATAGACACCATTTTTATCACTATTTTACAGATGAGGAAACTGAGGCTGACAGAAGTTAAGTAAGTTACTCATAGACACACAAGTAATAATTGTCTGAGGCTGTATTTGAACTCCAGTCTTCCTGACTCCAGGTCCTGTTATCTAACCACTGTGCAACCTTGCCACCTACAGAGCAGTATGAATACAGGCAAGTTATTTTACGTTTCTGGCCCTTACTTTTCTCATTTGTATAGAATTATGGGCCTAGATAATCTGCTGACAGTCCTAAGACTCATTGAGTCATTTTCACAAAATCCACAGGGGCCATTTTGCAAACAGCATGATCAATGACAGTGCATTACTTTTTAATGAAGTCTGTTCTGAAAAGATAACTGGAAATAAAAATCTGAGGTGCAGGACACATCTGCATTATACCAAATTTTGTGCTGTGGCAGATTATGTTGTGGCTGGTCTTTGATATGTTCTCATCTTCTAAGAATAATTTCAAAATGAAGACTAGTTTTTGTTAAGGAAAACGTTTGAAGGGTTTTATTAAAAAGGCTTCAAATTTTCAAATTAATGGGATTACAGTTAAAAGTGTATTTTTCCAGCCCTTAGTGTTTGTATCAATTGGGGACTTCAGAGAATGCTTTTCTTTTTATATAAGCAGCCTCGTACATGCAAAAGTTCTGAGGATTTTACCAATAAATAATTCCTCAGCCATTGTAGAAAATATAGTCCAGAGGAGAGGTCAAAAAGTATTTTCACAAACTAAAAAAGCACGTTTCCTATTCCAGGAATTCTTCTCCAGGTCAAAGGTTAGAGTGAACCTGTAGAGAGCTCTGGCCTGATGTCTGTCACATCTGCAGAAGGTCCATCTTCCTCTGGTAATGATAAAAAATATAGAGGCTCTGAAGTAATTCACCAACAAACATAGCTGTGTGACCATAGGCAAGTCACTAAACCTTTCTCTATAATATGGAGATAATAAGAACTATGTTGTCTACCTCACATTGTTATTGTGAGTACCAAATGAGATTATAAATACAAACCCTTGCTAACCAACTGGTTGCTAACCAACCATCTTAAACTGTTTCTTTCTCTATCACTCCATCTTCTTGCATTCAATGAGACTTGGTTACCTTCTAATAACACATCTCCCTGGCCTCCCTTCTAGCACCAGCTACACTTCCACTTATACCCCCAACTCACTGATTGGCAGGGGAGTTGGAACAGTCTTGCTGCTTCTGAGCTCTCCTTCTTCCCTCACTGAGGATTCTCTTTTCCTTTGAGGATCATTCAATTCATACACATCATCCAATCAAAATTCTGGTAGGTATCATCCATAGATTTCCAGGACATGCTCCTTCCTTTCCAAATGAGTTTAGTTCACAGATTTTATCTTCTCCCCAGCTCCTGCCCTTATATTAGGGGCTTTCAACATACATTATTTGCTATTTGTCCTTCATTCTCGAGGAGGACCAATGATATTGGGATGCTCCCTCATATACATTTTGATACTCTCTCAAGCACCTTAACTTGCCAATCTCTCAACTAACTCATTTCCCATAACCTACTCCTCTGTTCCCACCACAGCTACATACAGAAATAGTAATGCCATTAAGTTCTCCACATCCATATTCTTGAACTCTTAAACTATTTTATCTCATCATAATGTGTGATCATTCTACTTCTCCTTTTGCCCTACAACGACACACCCTGTTCTTGGTCTTCCAGCACTGAGGCAGGGAGACCATTGCAATAGCCTTCTGATTGGTCTCCCTGCCTGAAATTTCTCCACACTTTAATCCATCCCCTACGCAGATGTCAAATGGGTCTTCCTAAAATACAGTTCTGACTATGCCATTTTCCCACCCCCACCCCATTCATTACACTCTAGTAGCTCCTGATCACCTGCAAGATCAAATATATGAAACTCTCTCCCTCCTTATTTCTGCCTCCTTAATTCCCTGTCTCTCTTCAAGGCTCAGCTGAAGTCCTACCTTCTATAAGAAGACTTTCACACTCCTCCTTAACCTTAGTTCTTTGCCTCTGAGATTACCCCCCAATTTTTCTTAGTTAGAGAAAAGAATGATAAATAGATAGATAGATAGATAGATAGATAGATGTGTAACATAGAAAGATGAATATCTATCTATCTATCTATCCATCTATTTATCTATTGTTTCTATATACTTGTTTGTGTGTTTTCTACCCCCATTAAATTGTGAACTCTTCAAGAGCAGGATTGTTTTCTTTTTGATTTTTTTTTTCTTTTTACCTTTTTGGTATCCCCAGCACTTTGCACAGTGCCTAGCACAAAGTAATTCTTAATAAATGTTGGTTGAATGACTGAATAATAAAATAAATGTCAATTACTACTAATAACTAGTATATATATATATATATATATATATGTGTTATCATTAATAACATAGCACAAGATTAATGATGATTGTGATGTATTGATAATATAACAATAATATATTATTGATAGTACAATATATTGCTAACATAATAGTACTACTAACAATATAACATTATTGGTAACTCAGTCCTATTTTTTTTAAAAGAAGACAAGTTTTAAGGCTGGTTCTACATACTTAAGAGAACATTTTTATAACATTTTAATACTCCTTTCCCCCACCAAATTCATCATCTAATAGCTTTCTTTTGGACAATGACCCTTTCTGAATTTACCTAAGCCGGTCCTCCAACAAAAGTCATCATTAGGTCAGTGCTCAAACCCTTTCCATGTTGCTAGTACCTATCACAGTTGGTACTATACTGGCATAAACCTGATAACCCAAGTTCACTACCAGATCACGATGAGACATCCACATAGGAATTTTGTGGGGTTCTGTCACAAAACAATGAAAATTAAAATTCCTGGCACTTTTAAATTAAGGGTTAACTCTAAGTTTGTTAGGAAAATTCTGCTACTAGACTATGCTTCATGAGGATAGGAACTGTGTCTTATCTAAACTTTATGTCTCTCCCACCACCAAACACTTAATAAATGGAGAGATGAAAGAAAAAAGAGAGAAGGAGGGAGGGAGGAAGAGACAGAAGGACAGAAGGTGGAAGGGACAGTGGAAAGGAAGGAGAAAGGAAAGGAGGAAGGGAAGAAAGAAAAGCAGAATAATGTATCCTTCAAATAACTATGGCTATATGAATTTATAAAAGATTTCATTTATTTTCTATAGAACTAACTCTTGTGCTTGTGCTATGGCTTATGCTAAAGTTGGGGGATAGAATCTTGACAAGACAGACTTGGGCTGTTATCCTGACCTGTAATCAAATGGTGAATCTAAGAGATGAAGACAGGCTAACCCAAACAGAGACAGACAAACATTTCGCTTATCTGGATCGGGTTTATATTACAGATGAATATGGTATATTCAGGAAGACCATGACCTTGAATACCATGACTGAATTTGAAGAAAGACCACCAGACACTCTATTCTGTCATCCACTCAATTTCCACCACTCTACAGAGTCAGGTTCCCCTTGTATTGGAAGCCATCCAATCCTAATTCTGTGGTAGGTGAGAGAACAATTACCTTAAAGAATGGTAACCACACACACACAAGCAAATTAGTGATTATTAATGACTAAGAGTGAAGATTATTCAGTCTCATTGGAATAAGTCAGTTAGTGATTAGTACTTCATGTTTTAAAATCAATTATTAACAGCCACTGTTGTCATGTATTTACAATCCAGGTGTCTGCTTTCTCAGGGTAAGTAAGTGGTTCACAGCTTCTTATCTCAGCTCCCTGAGCAAACTCAAACACACCCAGGCTTAATCTAGACTACAGGATGGCCTGTTTGACTAATCACCCTGATGGATCATTCACATGATGGCTAGTGTTGTCATTGCACATAGCATAGCATGAGATAGCATATGGTTAACCCCTGACCTCCCAGGTGCCCTGATCATGCTGCTCCAGCACTAACCCTCCTCCATCATCACTTCCTCCCTGTGGCAGTTCTGGAAAGAGATCTGTTCCTAAGCAAATAGCAAAGGCTCTGACCCCTTCATGAGTCACCAGTCTGTCTACCCACTTCTAGGGTCCTCCTCTGTATTTTTTCAGCTTGTCAGAGCTCCTACCATGGAGAGTGGTAATTATGATATAAACTGCGTTCGTGAAAAGTCAGGTAATTGTAGTTTTGTAAATCTAGAACTGCTCAAATGGTTTATATCACTTAGAATCATCTGAACCTCTCTTAAAAAGATTTAGCTTTTACCTCAGTAAAAGTCATATAGTAGCATAAGCTGTAGGGGAGTGAAATAAATAACTCTACGTCAAAGTTTTAAAAGCATAGAGGAATATCCCAATTACTCTGACTTTGGTGACACTGAGTTATAATTAATGATAAAAAGCAAGTTAAATATAATTCAAATGTATTTATATTTCACATTCAATTTATCATTCCTAGGTAATGTGGCATAGTGAATAGAAAACCAGCCAGGGGAGTCAGGAAGACCTGTATTCTTGGCCTGCCTCTGATACATGCTAGCTATCTATGTAACCCATTGCAAGTCACATAACCTCTTAGAGTCCCAGACAACTCCCTAGATTACATCAAGGGAAAGAATTTCCATACCAAGTATACCCTCCATTGAGGAGACCACAGATCTAGACAAAACAAAACATTCTCGCATCTTAACAAAAGCCTTATTTTCATCAATTTTTAACAGTAAGTAGTTTAGAACTAGAGATGAAATCTACTAAATGAAATGAATATTTTAATTTATCTGGAGTCTTCTTACATATGCCATCTTCATTCGCTGTTACTGTTAGTAATGGGACGTTTTAGTAAGTGTGTGCTTTTAATCAATGTCCAAAGATCTCTGGCATTGATTGCTCATTTACCTAACTTCTCTGGCAGGGGTTGTGAAGAGAATTCAATGTAGAAAAATCATGCTGACAAAGGGAGAATGTAAAACAATAGGTTCTTAAGTTTTGTTATTTGCAATAGGCATTTTCCTTGAACACCTCCTCCTCCCCAAACCTTTCTTTATAACAAAGAAAAAGATTTATGCAAAACAAATCAATATAATTTACCTGACAAAATAAACCCTGTTCCTCACCTGCAGCTCCCACCTCTCATTTGAGAGGAAGTAGTGTGTTTCCTTAGCACTTCTCCCAGCTTGGGTGCATATCTTAGTTCATGTTGAGGATGTGATTTCTAAAAATAACAACAGGAAGCAATAATAAAATTCAGCAAGAGGCATAGATTCACATTGTCTACAGCCACGATGAAATGCTTTTTAGGCTCATTTGTCTGAAAAGTACTGGGAAGTTAAGGATACCTGGAAGGATTAAGCTGTTTCAGTTAGCACAGTGCATCTGCAAACACTACAGATAGTAGGATGAAAATTTTTATATCAAAGCAAAATTATAGTATCTGCTTGTAATCATTTGCATTTGAAGTACATTTGCCCAGATAAGAAAAATTATAGTAAATTTAGCAAGAGGAAAAAAAAATTCAAAAACCTTTTCATCATTCTCTATTGTTATAGGAAATGCAAAATAAAGGCAAAAAAAATTATAAATAATAATTTAGGGCTTTAGATGTTCTTTTTTTCATAATTGCCTTTTAATAGCCCAAAAGTTATTTTTTTAAATGAGCTTGTGTAAATCATAGCGTGCAAAACAGAGATAATTATGAGTGTAGATTTTACTTACATTTTAACAGATCCATATATTTCAAAACCTGTAGTTTCTAGTTGACTGATACTTTAATGGTTCCTGTGAGCTTTAGCCATCTTTAAACAAAAATGCGCATTTGTTTTGTGAAGTACATTCCTGAACACTTAGATCATTATTAATCATTACTATCCATCCTGAATAATAATCCCCTGGAATTTCCCTCTGACCA